GAGCCGGGGAAAGAAAAACAAAAACAACTAGAGTGGGATAACGAGTGGTTTGTTTTAACCTGTTTGGGGAAACAGGGAGTTTATCCTTTGGAAACAAAGTAAATACACTCTTTTTTTCCATAATGGTGAGCGGTAGAACTTTTAAATAAAGGTGTCTTTATTGAGGTATTTCTTAGGGTTTGCAAGTGTTTAAAGAGGATTTTTTGTAGTGCTTTGGTTAACTAAGTTATACTAATTGACAGCAAAGTAGTGTAACTTCTGAGTCAAGAAGCCTTTAGACTTCCCTTGCCTAATAGAGCTACTATTTATTTATTAGGCTCTGAGATAAGTACTTCATTGAGGTTTTGGTAGCAGAGGTTGTACGTGATTTACGTGTTTCCTACTGTTGTTTTCTCATGGGAGCTTTTCTGTGACAAGCTGTACTCTCACTATATCTGAGTTTGTCCTCAGCTCAGTATTAACTCAGATGTTGCTCTTCATCTGACTTCTAACTGCAAATACACAAACTTTTACCTCTGGCACGTGTTAGCAATTTACACCCAGGCTATAGGACCCATCCCATCATACAGGTCTAAGTTCAGCCTAAGTGCTGCTTGCTCTCACTGGTGGGGACTGTGGGTGCAGGCTAAGCTGTCTGAAGGCTCAGTCCTCGTGCCTGCACTTTGCCATTGCTTGGGAAGAGTAGGAAGGGGACAGGCTGCCGTGGTGGGGACCAAAGCAATGCCCTCAGAAGTCCCAGGTGAACACAGTATTATGTGCTTTGTGCACCACCAGAATGGCTTTGTCATAGAACAGCTTACTCCAAGTCAAGCCAAAGCCACTACTCTCAGCTTCTCTGCAAGGAAGGCATATAGCTTCTGTGGGATATAAAGCAGAATATTTTAGTAAACTTTAAGGTAAATATTTAGTCATCCTTAGGCATCCTATGGCCAGAAGCAAGCGATGGTAAAGTACTTTTCAACTGCATTTGCAAAATTTGTGTCTATTTCTTGTTATCTGTAAGAAGATCTCTAATCCTTGTATCTCAGTCCTAGCAACGTCTTACAGTGAATAAATCATGAGTGCTGGCTTATCTATCAAGGTGTCTGTTGACCAGGAAAGTGGCCAAGTGTAGATCAAGCTTAGGTTGCTTAGCTGGCCTGACCTCAGTCTGATTTATTTTGTAGTGAGAATTCTAAGTTAATGCCTTTACAAACACAGGGAATATATTATAGACAATAGACCTTTCAAACACACCTGAAGGGACTTAGTCCTATGAAAATCACTGAAAATCAGTGGAACTTATTCTCCTAGATCAACTGTATTCCTGTGAAAGTGCCAAATATAATCTTTCAGTTTGCTTGTATGAGAAGAGAGTTCTCCTCAGTCTGACACAGATCAGGAGTGGAAGGATGCAAAGGATTAGATAGACACCAGAGCATCAGAGAATCTTTTCAGTGGGCTGTGGGGGGATCTTCTGTTTGCATTTGCCTAGAAGAATGCAGAGAGAAAATGCACCTCCTCTAGTGCACAGGTTAGAGATAAATATACAACTTTTTTTTTTTCCCCTCTAAAATGCTGTCTACATAAGCATTTAGATTTTAGGCATCTTGATGATTGCAGAGTGTCAGTCTCACTGTTTCACAAGAAACAAAGCTTTGCTCCTGGAGCTAGGCAGACTTACTGTGATGAATCCCAGATGAGACGTAGGAAAGCCTAGGCAGGTCTGGCCTGAGAGTGGAAAATGGCTAAAGGCATGGTGCAAGGGAACTCAGAGAATAAGCAGGCAGTTACAGCAGGTAACAGGAGGTATCAGTAACAACTTGTATTTTTCAGATTTCTCACCTCTTTCCACTATTGTTTCCCATGGAAGGGCCAGGGGAAGTGTAGATCTTGCTATTTTCACTCTGCTATTTTCTTCTCTTGTCTAGGAAACACGCTGGCCTAAACTAGCACTGATGTGGTACTTGATGTTTAACTCCCCATGCAACGGAGAATTGCTCTATCATTGTCTTCAGTGGCATTTTACCTTGAGTATAAGTAGAGATTGATTTAAATATTTGCTTAAGTGATCATCTTAGGTGAGTCACACCTGTAAGCACCTTTGAAATACCAGCATTTCAGGGCAGCATATAGAATTATCAGGGAAGGATTCCAAAGCATTTCAGTAAAAATAAAATCATTGACCCCAGAGCTTTGGTTTTGCAGTTTTTCCTAGGCAGGATGTCTGCTACTTGTGTGGGTGGGAGTAAACCAGAAGGGCGTAGGCCTTCCCTATATTTCCAGCAAGTTCCTCATCCCCCACTTTTAGATGGAAGGTGCTGCACTAAAAAAACCAGCACATTTTCAGCCACTAACTCTGTATTTTCCTTTGTTGTCTGTTTATCTTCCATGGATTGTATTTTAGTATGGTCTTTTACAAACTAACAGGCACTATACTTACCACAAATATAAATCAGTTACTAAATATGTCCATCTATATAACTAATGAAAAGGGCAAAAGTATTTTATACCTTAGAGTTTAAAACAATTCATAGCTCGTGTAACTGGAAATATCTGGAAATATCTTAATGGCTGATTTCTTCATAGTTCTGGCATTTCTAAATATTTATATGTTTATAACTGCAGGCAAACACATTGCAATCCTCAAATTTGCTCTGTGTTTTTTATGCTGCAGTGTTTAGTGCAACCATGTATGTAAACCTCATGTATATGACCATATTTCCCAAATCAAAATATAAATTTCAAACCTGTAAATTAGGTTTATACTGTGCTTCTGAATGTAGCTGAACTTTGTGCATAAGAATGACATCATTGTTTCTGGAGTAACTAGCCTACATGAGAAGATGGGAATCAGAAGCAGACTTTTAAGAGGAAAATATCAAACAAAATAAATGGTTTGAACACAATATATGATGCTTTTGGGTGCTATAAACATTTTATCGTTTCTTGTTTGGGAAGAACTGCATAACTCACTGGGGCTCCATAACTTGTGAGTAATGCAGCCATCTCAAAATTTAGCAGATTTATCAGTCGTGGTGTTCAAATGAAAACCTGGGATCTCATTTCCTCCTCAGCCCTTATAAATTTGACCCAGCGTTTAACAATGACCCATCTGCATGTGTTCCCTTACATTTACATAAGGCACAACTTGGATTAAAAAATGTAACCCGATGGAATATTTCAGTGCCAGAGCGCTAAGATCTAGCTGTAACTTCTATTTTAAAGAGCCCCAGAAACTTGGAAAACTTTCTCCAATAGCAGTAATTACAGGAGAATAGGGCATTTCAGTTAGAGATTTTTGGCTAGAAGTTAACAATTGTTCGTATTATTCTGCACAGACAATAACTCATGTCTCGAAGTGGCAGCATGATTGCCACTACACTGAGCCTCACTCAGTGACATGGGGCCATATTTCATCCTCCATTTACAGGCAGCAGAGAGAGGCACCAGATGGCGATTTTCGGGGCTTGCCTGGACACCTGGTGGCAGAGCCCCCCATCTGCCTTTACGTGCTGACAGACCAGCCGCGGGACCCTGCTTGCCCCTTCCGCAGGAGGCTGCCCAGGGCAGTGGTCACAGCACTAAGCCTGACAGAGCTCAAGAAGCATTTGGACAATACTCTCAGGTACACGGTGTGATTCTTGGGAATGGTCCTGCGAAGGGCCAGGAGCTGGACTCGATGATTCTTGTGGGTCCCTTCAAACTCGGCATGTTCTGTTATTCTGTGACTCCGCTCCAGTAAGGTGATGCCGGGCTCTAAGCACGCCCGCCGGGCTCTGCGGGTCCGTATTGCACTGATCCTTGCAGCAGCATCTTCCCTGCTAAGTGCTGCCCTGCAGAGGAGATCGCTGTAAGCCGGCTGCGTGCCTGGCACTTCCTGGCACTCCCAACGCTTTGCTTCATTTGGGAGCCTTGTATTGCAAACGAACCCTGCAGCAGCCGCGCTGCTGGATGGAGCCTGCCTGGCCGAGAGCACAAAGCATTCGCTGAGAAAGTTTGCTGTAAATAATACCTCTGTTGTTTTTTGCCTCAGCTTCACCTATTATTATTATTATTTACACATTCTGTGGCTGTCGATGTGCCCAGGCTTCTTCCTGCTCACAGCCATCATCACCCTCTGTGTGGCCAGAGCATTTTCCTGTTGCATCCAGTTGCGACATTGCAACTATAGGCTTGCGGTGGCCCATGTGGCGTCGGCAGCAGACACATGTGGGGAGACCCACTCCCATTCCCATGCACGTTTTCTCGTTACTAACATTGTTGTTACAAAAGGGGAGTAGAAATCTAGCCCCCGAGGATGCCGAGTCCCGCTTTTCGGGATTCATTTTACGGCGGCACATAAAAGACTGTCTGGAAGCGCTGAGAGCCGAGTGCCTCAGCGAGCCGCGGCCGCCTCGCAGCCCGCCCGGCTCTGCAGTGCCGGGGCTTTCAGCGAGGGCCCGAGCAGCGCCGGCCGCGGAGCGTTCCCGGCGGCCGAGCCGGGGAGCCGCGGGCGGGCTGTGCCGCGGGCGGGGCCGCGGCCGGTGCGAGCGGGCCCGCGGGCGCGGGGCGGTGCGGGGCGGTGCGGGGCGCGGCGCTGTGCATGCCGGGCGCGGGCGGCGCGGGCAGGAAGCGCTTTGCCGGCCGAGCCGAGCCCGGGCGCAGCCGGCGGCGGGGGCGGGCACAGCCGCGCCGGTGCCGCGGGGGCTGGGGCACGGCGGAGGCAGCGCCGGGATGGGGGTGGCTTCCTGAAGCGCGGGGAGGGAGGGCGGGAGGGGGCTGGTTCTGCGTTTCGGTCCCTCTCCGCCCCCCTCCTGCCCCTCTCTCCCAAGTTCGCCGCTGTGCCGCGGCGCCTCCGGAGCGGCTGGCTGCGGGCTGCCCCTGCCCCGCTCCCGGCGCTGCCCGCGGCGGGGCGGGCGGGGACAGCGGCGAGCCGAGGCGACCCAGGGAGCGGTCCGCCGCCCCCGGGGAAGGCTCTGCTCCGGGGAGCAGCGGGGGGAGGCGGCTGGCACAGACGCCGGAGCTCCGCCGCCCGCCCCCCGGCACCGCCGCCGTTTGCCCAGCGCCGGCAGCCCCGGGAGATGGTGACACATGAAGCGTGCGGGAAGGACCATGGTTGAGAGGACCAGCAAGTTCTTGCTGATCGTGGCCGTCTCGGTGTGCTTCATGCTTATCCTGTACCAGTACGTGGGGCCGGGGCTGAGCCTGGGTTCCCCCAGCGGCCGCTCCTACTCGGAGGAGCTGGACCTCTTTCCCACGCCGGACCCGCACTACGTGAAGAAGTACTACTTCCCCGTGCGGGAGCTGGAGCGGGAGCTCGCCTTCGACATGAAGGGCGAGGACGTGATCGTCTTCCTGCACATCCAGAAGACCGGCGGCACCACCTTCGGCCGCCACCTGGTGCAAAACGTGCGGCTGGAGGTGCCCTGCGACTGCCGGCCCGGGCAGAAGAAGTGCACCTGCTACCGCCCCAACCGCAGGGAGACCTGGCTCTTCTCCCGCTTCTCCACGGGCTGGAGCTGCGGGCTGCACGCCGACTGGACCGAGCTCACCAACTGCGTGCCCGGAGTGCTGGACCGCCGGGAGAGCGCCGCCGCCAAGACGCCCAGGTACCGGCCGGCCGCCGTCCTCCCTTCCCCGCTGCCCTCGGGCCGCTCGCCCCAGCCCTTGCACTGCTGAGCCCCCTCCCGTGCGTTGCAGCTCCCTGCTAACGCGCTGTGCCTCAACCTGCCCTGAACCTTTCCTCACCCGGTTCACCTGTCCTCCCCTCCCGGCCTCCAGGCTGTGCCCTGCACCTTCCCTCTGCATACCCAGTCAAATTTCCTGCTCCTTCCCTCCCGTGTACCTAGCACACTGCACCCTCAAGCCCATGGTCTTCTGCTCTGGAAGCCTCTGTGGACCCGTTAGCAAGACCACATATTTGTGCCGTTTACTCTCTCTTGTAAACATTTAGTCTTCACCTCAGACATCACTTGCCCCCTTTTAAGTGCCCTTTACGCCATACCCTAGCCTCAGGCTTGTCTTTGCAATCAGCTTTGCCCTAAACTGCGCCCTAACCTTTTTCCTCCAGCTGAATTTGTTCTCCAGTGCAACCGAGGAGAGGCAGACCAGTCCTCCTTGGTTTAGCCCCCTAGCCCGCCTGATAGTTTTTTGCACGTTGCAGAAAACATTCCTTAACACCCTTTCTTATGTTCCTTGCTCTTTATCTTGATGGGAGACCTGAGGCGAAGTCTTTTGGAGAAAGGAGTTACCTCGTACATGTTCCCCGAGTCTCCTTCATGTGTGCACTAGGAGAGAGGGAGAGCCATCCTAAAGCACCTCTCTGCATTTGTGTGGAACGCCCAGTGTGTTTCTGCCCTCTTAGCCCATCCTTTCTCTGCCTTGGTCTCTTCGTGAATTACAAGATTCAGAGAAATTTTCTATTTGAAGTACTCTAGTAAAGACAGTGGCTTACATTAAGATCTCCAAAAGATTGGGGTTTTTAGCTCAATACACTGCTGTATCTTTCTTTCACAAGACCTTTTTTTTTTATTATCACTATTCTTTAACACCATGCACACTTTCTTTGACATATTAGTGCTTTTGTTACAGCACTTTGTAATCTGTTTGCCTTAAAGTGTCATTCTTAGAGGTGCCCAAGACCTTATGCTAATATTTGCTTATGCTATATGCTTTATTTATATGCATGTCGTTAATATCATATATAATCTCTTTAATGAAAAGTGGCCTTTAAGAAAGTATGTTTTGGCATCATAACTGTGTTTTCTCTGTGTTTTTTAAAAGCAGTTTTTAATGATTTTTCTTTCCTTGGAGCTGTGTGCCATTGCTGGGGTTCTTTATTGTCTCTGTCATGATTGCTGCTGTTTTCAACCCGTTTCAGTGTTAGTCATCCAAGCTTAGGCTGCTGTCATGCTGCCTGACCCAGCAGCAGCAAACCGAAGTATATAACCGAAGGACTGAGTATTCAGGCTTTCCTGTGCTCTCTTATTTTATGATAAGGTTCCTGAAAACACCTCTAGGTGAAAATATCCTCTGCCCATCTAGTTGCTGTTGATATTTTAGCAAGGTATTGTAAGGAAAAATGCGCAAAGTTCAAATCTGACTTAAAAAAGGAACAAAAATTACCCGTTTTGTGAACCCTGACACTTGGCTAGTAAACCATTAACCTTATATAAAGATCTATGTGGTTTTATGAATTGTTTCAGAGCCTTGTGTGCTTCCACTGGCAATTTTGTATTAAAATCTGTTGTGTGTTCAGGATTCAACTTTCTCATCCTATTCAGGAGTTGCCTCTTTTGTACAGGTACCTGGGAATGGGGCACTTCAGACTGTAAGGTAGCAATTAAATTCCTTACTGCAACTCATAGGACGTTGAGAACCAGAAGCCTATTGCCTCCTCTCACATGCTTGTAAATAACATTTTCCTTGCCGTTTGTTTTGGAGCATCAGGAACTGTATGGTTCTACATACTTCTTCATTGTTTTGATTTTTGGAAGTGCCGGAAAAGTAATTAATCCTGCCCCATTCCCTCATGTCTTGGCATATCCAGAAATAGTTCTGCTTCATGTGGGTCTCTTGACTTCCTTTAAATCTAAGTTAGAACTTCATTTCCAGGAGTGCAAGACCTATGATGTGGAAGCTTTAGATAATCTGGGGTTTATCACCTTGGTCTGTTGAACAAAAACCAGAATTTACTGTTCGCTGTATCTTGGGGATGGTTTGGTGCAATGAACAGCTGCTGGTTATTTTAATAATACTGTCCTGGGATCCTGCTCCTTTGTACTGCAGTCCAGTTCTCCAAACTGTGATTTATTTGATGCCTAAGAAAATGGGGAATAAGAGGCAGGCAGTGCTTGTTTAAAATAAAAATTTGGTGGATTTTCTTTGTTAGAATACAAATAGTCTTGTATTATGTCTGTTGCAGTAAGAGCAATATCACTTTTTTTGTCCACTGTGAGTGTTGGATCTCTTATCTTGATACAGGATATGTTTTTACATAAGGTATATGCTAGAAAGGCTACTGTTTTATAATGGAACTGGACTATGAAAATATCTCTCTTTCAAAGGAAAAAAAAAAAGAAAAAGGAGCAGCAAACACCTATTTCAGCAGAGTTCTCCCAGATTCTAATATTATTCAGTCTGAGTTTTGGAGTACAGTCTTCAAATTCAGTTTTTAAAGCTAACATACTGCCTTCTGCATTTGCTGCTTAATACAAAGTTTAAACCTTTGTTCTTCCAAATATATGTTTATGCCCAAAACAAAACAGCTGACTTGTGATTACAAATAAATCTGCCTTCCAGTGAATGTTGGAAAGCATGAAGGTCATTCAGTATTGCCCACATGCACAAATCATGAGGCTCAAGCTGTTCCCTTTGTAAGGAATGCAGTTAGTGCCCTATTGCGCTACATTCCATAACCTGGGCATGGAACATAAATTTACAATGCAATTGCTCTCTTTATTGTTCTGCTGTTCTGTGTTAGGCTTAATGATTAGGAACACTAGATTGCCAAAGACTGCATTTTTTTCCTTCTTCTTTCTGTCTTTCTTCTGCATTGGTACAGTAAGAGTTAGAGATGGGTGGTTTAGTTCTGACGGGTCAGCACTCTTTGAAAAAACCCAAACTACTTGTTCTCGTTCCCCTCCCACCCCCCCCCCCAGTGACTTTCCTGTTTTGTATTCAAAAGGCTTCTGGACACCACTTCTTGAAGCAAATGTTATGTTTTATACACAGCCAGTAAAAGAAAAAGAGTAATTTGTTTGGGGGCTGTAAAACTTGGGACTCCAAGGAACTCTGAAGCTGGCTGTGTTTATCAGTTAAGTCGCTCAGCTGCAGTTCTCTTCGTGCCTTTAGTAGAGGGCAAATTCCAAGATTTTGGGAATGGAAGCCTATTTATTCCTTGTGCTGTTAGGCGTAAATAACTGCTGGAAAAGACTTTTTTTAAAGAGCAGCAATACTAGGATGTGTGCCTTGAGTCATCATGCTGGTATTTCAGAAAGCAGAGGCTAAGCCGCTTCTGTGAACTGCTCCCTTCAGCTTGTTTCACCTAAAACCTGAGAGATCAGATCTCTTCAGTTGATTCTGAAAAAAGTCACACTCGTTTCTTTAATCTGAATTCCAGAATTAGGAAGATCTATGAAGTGATCCATGAGTGACTTGTCTGTGTTCTCTGTCAGAGGACTGAAGGAAGGCCCTTGGAGGTGTTGGAAAGGTTCCCTTGTTTGCCCCCGCAGGAAATGGGCTGCAGGGCCCTTCTGGCTGCCTTCTGCTGCCAGCCCAAGAGCAGAGCTGGGTGTTCTGAAGTTGTCCTTGCAGGACACTTCACGTGTGAGCTTGACTCTAATGTAACGTGCAGCAGAAACAATAAAACAAATAAATTACGCTGCAGGAATTCTATGTGTTTCCTCTTCTACCTCTTCCCAAAACCAACACAAACAAACCCTCAGCAACCCAGGCTTTGTTGCTATCCTGCTGGGTTCGGCTGCCTCCTGAAAACAGGAGCATCGAAGCTGGCACTTTCCTGGAGACACTTTATTCACGTGGAAAGGATTTGAAGGCACACAGCTCCTTTAACACTGCCTTTCTGCCTGTTGCTGGGGAGAGCCCATGAAACAGGGAGAGTGTGGCTGGCTCTGTGCTCCCCCGGCTCACACACAGGCTCTGCCTCCTCTTAGGCTGCTTCAAGCACAGGTAGATTGACTTTTTGTATGAGCTGCCTCAAGACACGAGCTTAGCCTTGGCTTTGTGTGTGTTTCTGTGCTAGTCTGTCCTTTAAGTTTGGTTTCTGAGTTCATCTGTGGACAAAAATGACAAGAGTACGTGCATGCTTCCAATTTCAGTATTTTTTCTCAAGATTTCATACGCTTTAGAAAGAAAAAAAATTGTAATCCACCTACTTTTATGTAAGAAGTCTATGGCAGGTTGGTAAAACCTGCTGTTAAACAGATCAGTCCAAGTTCTAGATCTCTCTGATTAGCTATTTACAGCTTATGGTTTTGGTTGGGTTTTTTTAAAAGAAACAATTAACAGGGCTCACAGTTTGTTAATTTGATTTTTCTGAAGTGTGAACTTTCACAGCTTCCAACCACATATCTGTCCCTTTGCAGGGATCTGTTCTTGATGAGGTTTTTATTATATGTGTGCTTAGGAGCTGCAGAGACACGTTGTCAAGAGACCAACTGTTTGAGAATGAAAGCTTTACCAAATCATTTTTATAATATTAGCTCTTTTTAAAAGCTTGGGCTTATCATTCTTTGTGGATCTGTGTGTGTTGGGAGTTGAGAAATATCTGTCTGCAGGGAGCAAGGGCATTTCTTCCACTCACCAGTTCAACTCAGACTAGTTTCTCTAAAAGACTGGTGGAGAAATATCAATATAAAGTTATTTTCAGTAGCCTACTTCATCTCTCAAACTTTTAGCATGTGGAGTATTTTAAAGCCTAATAGTCTGATAGGAAACTTTTTGCACCTGGTTGTGCTCACCCATAAAGCCAGGCTGATCTTTCACAGCCAAACGATTCCAAAGGGCCAGATAGTTTTGTAGTGAAAATCTTTATATTTGACATAGTTACTAAAAGCAGCTGAAAGTTGGAACTCTTCAAATAGCTGCCTTAGTATCTTTGAGGAACTGTATTTTTCTGAGCTTAAGACTTTTGGGTGGTATGCCAGGTTTAATTACTC